GAATGAGGAAACTCGTTTGAAGTATGTCTTTAATTACAATGGTATTGCGCCTTATAGTGCCCTGTTTCAAATGGCACATCTTCTAATTTACCTGTATTAAATTCTGATGTGGCCTTATCTCCCTCCTGCCTTGATATTTTCAAGGCTCTGATTTGGCTGTATTTATTTTATAAAGTGAGGTAGTCAGCTGACTGCAACTGGAGAAGATTTAATTTTCAGGTTCCCTATGTCAGAAGACTAGAATACCATGGGGTAAATCACTTAGCTTTTCTTTCTTTCCATTTTCTTCCTCACTTGATCTTTATTTTCTTTTTCGAGATTTTTTTTCCCAAAAAATTCACTAAATAATGTATAAGATTTGACGGTGGTGTTTCTTAGGGGGATTAAGGCAAATCTTTTCTTTGAAAGGAGAAAATGGCCCATTGTTGAAGCAAAGGATGAGATTCTGATTCTAATTTATTCTCTTTGAACCTGATGGTAAATGCTACTGTCTGTAAGATGTGATCCTTGGGGCATTTCCTCTAATCAAACCTTTCCTCTGAAAGCCTGGCACCTTTGGGACTGCTAAAAGAGAAATTCTCCCACCCTTCAGCCCATGAATCCAAGGCCAAATTTTATAATTTGGGAGAAAACAATGGCAGCGGAAGTCCCTGGCCATAACCAACTTATACTAGTAGCCGGACTCCAGATATTGTATGATGCTTCCCCCCCTACTGCCCAGTAGAACCAGCTTGCTTCTTTAACTTATTCAGTTTTGAGCAACTGACCATAATTTGGATCCACTGGGGCTTTTAAAGGGAAAATTCTGTCTCTTCCCTACTGTGCATTAATTTATTCATTCTTTTATTCAGTGAACATTTATAGGTATTCTTTTGGGGATATCAAGATAAGTAAGACTCTGAAATGCTTTGGGAGAAACAATGTGTGTGTGTGTACACATATACTCACATACACGTGCACATGTATATGTAACATATAGTGTGGGTAGGAGCAGTGCTATCATGGAAGCAGGAACAGAGGATTAGAGTGTTACAGGTCACTAACAAGTTAGTGACTCTGCTCCAAAACTCTAGAATTTTTCTTTGAAATTGGAATAGAACATCATGTAATCTAAGAGGAAAGTGGTTTTCCAAGGCCATATAACTAGATAGTGAAAAAATATAGATCCGAATCCAGAGTTTTGACTTCTGAATTTTCTTTGTTGTTGTCCCCAAAGCCTCACAAAAGACAGAGAGCTTTTATGGCCATTGCCTATGTTACAGTCAACAGAAGGTAAAATGTGGGTTTTGACGATAATTTTCTATTCTATCATTTGTACTTCTAATTGCTCACAGATAAGCAGCATTTGTACTTATAAGCTAGAGTTTGACCTGATAGAGCAAGCGGGAGCTTGGGGTTGGTGGGAAAGGAAGGTGGGGAGAGAACTAGCTTTCCCGAGTGGTCAGGCGCTATGTGTAGACACCTTGATCTCTGCTGCCACACGTGGTCCCTTTAACAGCCTCTCGAGACCCTTGGTGTTCTCATTTGTATGGACATATAAAATGACCCGCTGGACACAGAATAATGACCCACCTGAAGTTATACAGTTGTCAGCCTGGTCCAGTTTGGCTCGTCATGAGCTGTCACCTCCACTGCTACCCCATTAGGTATACGCTATCACAGGGGAACTTTCACACTTGTTTTCATGATTATTGTCTCACCTGTTTCCCACCCTGAGCAGTCAGCTCCATCAGTCCAGAAACAGGGCTCACATTCCTTCTATACAAGGAAGATACTCACATTTTGACCATGTAGAGCTGGGATTCAAACTCAGTTCTTGGTATTGCAAACAATCTGTATAAAGTTCTCTGAGATCCTCTTTGAAAATTCATCATAGGCAAAGTATCAAACATTGCCTTCTATCCTTGCCTATATTGTGGATAGGATGAAAGGTCATTAGAATTCAGTGGGAAAATCAGGAGTTAACTTGTTCATGTATCCATCCTTGTGTCCGTTCTTTGGTTCTCTTGATTCTTTATCCAGAATTGGTCAAGTCTCTGATGGGTGCAACACTGATATAGGCTTGAAACCTGTCTAGAAAATGTGTCTGGGTGGGGCCAGAAGGCAGTAGTGTAATGTCTCACACGTTATTGTGGAGGGCCTGCTGTGTTCACTAAGAGTTCCCAGTTTCATTTTGCCTCTCCCACAAAGGCGCAGTGGAAACCAAGGTAGGGGAGGAGATGGCACAACGGAAAATGCAACAATGCCACTGAGTTCCATGTACTAACACTGAATAGTCCAGATTTTTTGTTTTTTTTCTAACCAAATGCACATACATTTTCATGTGTTTCTTCTGAAATGTATCTTTTTTTTTTTTTTGATGGAAATATTTTAGGAGGTCACTCATGAAATAGATCAAATTCATAAAACAGTTCAAATGACCTTTTTTTTCATTCTCATTTGCCCTGCTAAATCAGTGTGTTACTACTTGCACTTGCAAAAGTTCTGGCCATTCAGCTAAAGCCCCAAGGTCCTTGTGTGGCAGTTATACGTATTTGCAGTGAAAGGACCAGGAGGCGGGGGTGCAGCTGGCACGGCTCATCTGGTGCCTCTTCCCGCTCTTTCTAGACCTCCAGTGCTTATCTCACACTTTGCTGGACCCCACCCAGCAGGGTGGATAAAGGATAGAATTGCAAACAGAAACTGTGTTTGCTTTTGTTTAGTGAAGCCAAAAGTCTTAACATTATTTTATGAACTCAATGCAAATGACAACTGACATGAGAAAGAGAAATTTTAAGGGCACATAAGCATCCTTGTTATCACGGGGTTTGGGGGCAGAGGATGGTACAGGAAGAGTGTGTGTGTATTCTTTGTTGAATCATATATAATCAGTGTCTTCACCCTCTCCAGAAAGACCAGAACTGATTAGAAGGGAAATAGTAACTTGATGCACAAAATCTGTATGCATGCCAAATACTGGAGTAAAAAGCGTTTGGTATCTGATTGAAAAGACACCAACCAACCATTTGATTTCTATGGTTGAACACTCTCAAGATCTTGCACTCCTATATTGCATTTAAAAAATTGTTCCCTGAAGTGCAAACTGACTTCAGTTTTGAATAAAATTTAGCATTCAAATTTATAGCCACTTTGAAAACTGAGGGTTTATTTATATCATATGAACCTGGACAGATTCTTAATTACAGGAGCCCTAGTGCACATGAAAATCTGGATTAAAAAAAAAAAAACCTTCCACATAGGTTTTTCTACATTTTTGGGATGCTTTCATAGCAGCCATCATTTATGGGAAATGGTATTAAAATCCTGCCATATTGCAGTTTAAATGCCCTGCTTCCCAGAAGAGAGTTTAGTGTATCCTATAAAGCACTAAGTGAGTTTTTCTTTTTTTTGGTTTTGTAATTTTTTTCCTTCTCTTGAAAGCCTAGTTCTACTGAGAGAAATGCTGGTTCCTTCAAGTAATCTTTGTGTGTTAACAACTTGTGCAGGGAACACCTCTTTTGCTTGCTGTAACGGGCAAAAGTCATCTTGGTTTGCATGAAAGAGAAGGTCTGATTGAACTAGGGTGAGCCTTTCATTTTAAGAAGAGTTAAAGTCTGGGGTGTTTTTAATGTTTTAATCTCTGTTTAAGAGGTTTCTGTTACAAGAGGAAAATTGATAACATTTTTACCTCAGCCAACTGCCAGCAAACTGGCTCTGCTCTAATCCCACGTTTGTAGTGATTTATATTCTCCGTGGCAACGTGCTGTAACCTCAGAGTGATAGCACTGTGGTGCAGATTGACTGCATTCCAAATGCTGGGATCACATACATAATGTTTTTACTTTTAAATAATATTCAGACACCAGAATAAATACCATATGTGCACTGATGCTGGTTACAATGGAACCTTGTCATGTCTCGTGAGGGAGAACATTCTTTGTTTCTGATTTCTGTTTGAAATAAGTATGCAAAAGACAAATATGTACATTGACAGCATTTTGAGAAGACTTTGGTAATTACACAGCTGAGGACATAGCTAAGAGTCCTTGAAATGCAGCATTTGAGGCTGAAAGGTTTGCTGTGTTGCCGCCATCCCTCTTTGACACACATGAAGGCAAGGATCGTAATTCGACATTCCCAGTGTAGGGTCTAGTTTTTTTATATTTCATATCTATGGCATGCTGTAGTTGCTGGACATCTGTGGAAGAAAGATTACCTCCTCGAGTACTGTTCATAGGGACAGTGAGACTAACATGCTGATGACATTGTAACAGGGAGAGTAACGCATGTGAAAATGGGAGGAGATGGATTGACTGGAAAGTCATAATTCAGTGTGAGACCTAATGTTATCTGATGCCCCAAAAGCAGAGCTTACGTGGCCTGACATCCTCAAAATACAGATACTCAATCTCTCCAGATCCATTTTTTCCCCCACATGATGTTGAAGATTTAAAAGTTTCATAAAGTTTAGAAATACCTCCTAAGTCATGCACTTTTAGATTCTTGTTTTTATCCATCTTGGTTGGAATTCTAATCCACCTAGACATATTTTTAAAATAGACATGCTAGAATGCCTTTCATATTTGTGCATCTGTGACATGCTCCCACAAGTCAGTCCACATTGCTTCTTGGGGAAGCATTTCCACCCAGGTTTGTGTTATTACTATCAGCTGAGCTATATTGAATTAGTGCTCACGACATTTTCCTAATATTTTATAGCTCAGGAAACCATGGGTATTGGAACTGATGGCTTTGCCTACTCCTCTGCACCGCCATCCCCACCCAGTGTTGTGAGGTTTGTCCAGATATGTAGTGTGAGGTTAATGTGTGAGTCATTTGTCATAACACATCTCTGACAGTTTCTCTGGCACATGCCTCAGAATTTGGGTAAGTCTCGCATCCTTTCTGAAAGTTACTTGTAGAAATGTTCACCATTATAAAAATGCTCAAAATGCTCTTCGTGAAGTTGAGATGTTATGAGACAAATATTGTGCCTCTAACATATAGTCTCTCCTTTTCAGCTTTTCGGATGATCCCTTATCCCTTGGAAAAGGGGCATCTGTTTTATCCCTACCCCATCTGTACAGAGACAGCAGATCGCGAGCTGCTTCCATGTAAGTCTCCCCTCTGTATTCCTCTTCTGGGCTGGTGAGGGTGGTGTGCTGACAACGGGGATAGAAAGAGGTGGGAATGATAAATGTTTATGATGTTCCTTGTCTTCTATTACTCTTCTCCCAAACCCTGTCCTCATTTGATAGCATAAGCATTAAAGTGAGTTATGTGTGTAGGCTTGGCTTCTTGCTCCTCCACGTCTTTCCAGATTCATCAAAGGGAAAGACCCCTGGTGACTGAAGTTTAGATGAAGAGGCATCATGTCCTGGCTGGTCTGAGCACAGAGACCCTAGTTTGAGGCAGATGCCCCTTGCTGGGCAGATCCACTGTGCGGGGCTTGGCCTGGGCTCTCCCGCTGCTCAGAGGCAGTCTGCACACACTAGAGTCTAAAGGAGAAGCAGAGGAGCTGCAAAAGAGTCTGGCAGGGAGAGCAGGGCAGCTTGAGGATGCTGGCATTGCCACCAGAAACGGACCTGTGGGCCAGGTGGGCATGCTTTCTGCAGTGATGCAATGCTGTTGGCTGGCACGATTTCCCGCGAGCATCTCTTGGATGGCATGCAGTGAGCTGGTGGGGTGTGTGCAGGGCACATGTGCAGCCTCAGCCCTGTCCACAGTAGGCAGAGGGCAAACCCTACCCTCGAGGGCCTTAACCAGCTGGCAGTTGGAGGGCCTGTACCGCACGTGGGAAGTATGATTTGGTTTACTGTAATCCAACATTGTTTTGACAATTCCAGCTAAATAGTTATTATCAAATTATACTGTGTGTAAGGAATCGTGTCCAGGCCCTTCATGTGGCCCTGCCTTAGGACATACTTTTCTCCCTCAGATAATAAGCTCCAAATTTTTACTATTCTCTCTTTCCTGTCCGCTCTCCTGCCACTCCCACCCTGCACCAGCCCCAGTTCTATCACATCTCGTAGCTCTAACATAGTTAGATGCTTTGCCCAGAGGACCAGCTGAACTTTGGAGCCCTGGGTGCTTGTAAACTGTCCAATGGCCACATTTTTCGAGACGGTTCTAAATCTCCAAAATGGTGGGGTCCAGGTGCAAAATGAGCTGCCGTCTCAGGATGAAGGAACAGCAGACAGCTCTTTTCTTTTTTGGGTGACGCGTTACCTCAGGAGCTGGCGGCCGCAGTGGTATGGTGTTCCTCACCATCTGCATTTTTGTGTAAAGGGGTTGGGTGCCTCACTCTGCATTAGACTTGGTTTCAGAAACAGCGTCTGTGATGGGCCCACACTTTTTCCTTTCAGCTCTCCCTTCAGGGAGATCCTTATTAGCATTTCTGATTTGTGGTAAGAAAGGCAGTTTTCTAAAAAGTACATTGTTTTAAAATGTTTTAATTGTGTTCAAACATGTTTCCATGGGGGATAGCTTCACTATTAGAACAAGATTATAGTTCTTAAAAGATAGTGTCTAGGAATAATCTTTACGGTCCTAGAATAGAAAATTATGACTCACGTTGATTTAATTGAATGCAGTGGTTCAAGTCTGATTTCCCTTCACATTCACTGGGTGTTGTGGGTAAGGATGAGAGGAACATGTGGGTTCACATGCTCCCCGTGTTCAGCACATTAGTGGTGCGGGGTCCACGGTGGCCCTGAGCACACGTCCACCCAAGGAGAATCCGAGCAGGTTGACTTCCCTGGGTTCAGGTTCAGGTGCTTGTTTGTGTTTGTCCCTCCCTGGCCCTCTACCCTCTCTTGTTTTGGGCTTAGAGTTGAAAGGTCGAGGAAAGGCTTGAGACCTTGGGTTTCCTGAGGAAGATGGAGACCCTTGGTCCTTTGGTTGGAATGGCAGTGTTGTTCACACACAGCCACACACACGGCTTCCTTCCGCGGGGCCAGCCTTTGGTGCTTTTCTCTCTGTGGAGATCACTTGATTTAAAAGTTATGAAAAGCTCTAAAATCTCCCATCATTGATGGATGGATGGTCCTTGCTAAATGTCTCTCCCTCAGGGTGGTATCCTCCACTGATACAGTTAGATTGTACCAGGGAAAAGTACAAGCTACACTAATATCTGGGCTTCCCAGGTGGTGCTAGAGGTGAAGAACTTGCCTGCTAATATAGGAGATGCAGGTTCGACCCCTCGGTTGGGAAGATCCCCTGGAGGAGGGAATGGCTACCCACTCCAGTATTCTTGCTTAGAGAATCTAATGGACAGAGGAGCCTGGCGGGCTACAGTCCATGGTCACAAAGAATTAGACACGACTGAGTGACAGCATACACACATACACACTAGTGTCTCCCTATGACAGCGATTTAAAGATTACAGGACAGCGACGACCTAGAGAGAAGAGCTTTTCTTTCAGGATACTTGATTGTGGATTTTACACGTTTTGTTCGGTGAACATGTGTTTTATAATTTGAATAAAGTTTTGTTTGTGTTTCCTTTTGAGAAAGGAATACTGTGCATTAGGTGCGGATAGTGTCACTGTCCCTGCTGAACATGTGACATCCCCATGTTAGCTGCACCATGCCCTGGATAGAGTCCTGAAGGGTAAATGCGGACTTGGGAGAAGCATTAGGCCCCAGAGGCTGGCGGAGATGTTGGCACTCATTCATGCAAGGGCCCTACGTTTTTCCTTTCCAAAAGGCTTCAGCCAAAGCTCTGAAGAGTCCGTCCCACTTAGAGAAGTTCCCTGAGAGTGCATTTCACTGCAACTCTAACACTTCCCTTTGGTTCTTCTCCACAGCTTTCCATGAAGTCTCAGTTTACCCCAAAAAGGAGCTTCCCTTCTTTATTCTCTTTACTGCTGGATTGTGTTCCTTCACAGCCATGCTGGCCCTCCTGACACATCAGTTCCCGGAACTCATGGGGGTCTTTGCAAAAGCTGTGAGTATTTGCCAAGGGGGAGGCCTCAGGCAGGTGGCAGGGAAAGTCATGGAGAGCAGCATAAGAGAAACGGGGGAGGGTCGTGTAAAAGTGAGGGCTTGTACTGATCCTTTGCTCACTGATACTTCATCAGTGGGATCAAAATGAGAAAGTGTAGCTTGTTTATTACTGCATGCCTTGCCTCATTTCACATACAAAAAAATTCTCAGCAGTTCTTCCAAAATGCATGAGTTCTAAAAGAATTACATGAAGAATTAAAGAAATCCTAGCAAATGAAAAATATTTGGGAGGTAATTCAGTTTTATATAAATTGAATGACATTATTTCTAATCTTTAGGTATTGTAAGTCTTTCCTTCAAGAAGGACAGAATTTACATTTTCAAAGATGATTTAAATTTTAAAAGTTGTAGTATCAACAAATTAAATTGGGGAATGAAATGAGAAGGTGTGAAGGGTGTATAGTACTAATAAGTATAGAAATATAATGTTTAGAAATATCAGAATCCATTAAGACTCTTTAAAGAAGGTTATGGTATATGTATAGCTGTATATGTATAGAAACTAACAACATTGTAAAGCAACTATACTCCAATAAAAATTTTTAAAAAGAGATGCACTGAGACTATAATATATACACCAAATTTCAAACTTAGTCTTGGAAAAGAATATACAGTATCTCATTAGTTACTATACTGAATTCATGTTAAAATGGTTATTTTAGATATATTGAGTTAAATAAAACGACTATTAAATTTTTTTCTAAAAAAAAAAAGATGATTATGGAGAAGAGCTTTAATAAGAAAAGTCATCTGCATTGACAACCAAGAACCATTGTTTCCTTGATGAAAACTGACTATTTCCACCTGCACACACAGTGAGGATAAGTTTACTAATTTTGCCACAGAGGAGTTTCAAACAGAAGAAGTCAGAAAAAGAATACCAATTGTTTCCCTGGAACTCCATTCTGATTTCAAGGCAAGTGGAGTCAGAAAGGATGATTTCTAACTTGGCTGGGTTGATTTAATCCCTTTCCAGATGATTGACATTTTCTGCTCGGCAGAGCTCAGGGACTGGAATTGCGAGAGTATTTTCATGCGTGTTGAAGATGAACTGGAAATCCCACCGGCACCTCAGTCTCAACATTTCCAAAACTGAACTCATCACCCTCCTCCCCCCACCACCAAAACTGCTCCTCCTCCCGTATCCCTGACCTCCGCCAGTGGCTCTGACATCCACCCAGTCACTCAAGCCAGAAACTCGGCAGCCCTCCCAGACTCTCCCTTCTCTCACCCCTTACATCCCATCGGTCTCTGTTTCCACAGTCTGTCGGATCTAACCTCCTGAGCCGCTCGGCAGTCAGTAGATGGAACTCACCTCTTATCTTCCTTCTTCCCCCGAGACTCTCTCTCAGTTTAGATCTCTCTGATTTCTTGCAAGAGTCTTAATTGGCCTCCTTTTTTCCAGGCTTATCCTTGCCAGGATTTCCTTTGTACTGACCCAAGAATGATGTTTTTAGAAAATCTGAGCATGTCACTTCTGTGCTTGAATTTCCCCAGTGGTTTCCCACCAACAGCAGGATAAAGGCACAGGCCTTTAGCATGGCACACAAGGTCCTTTGTGATCTGGCCCTTGCTTGCCTCTTCAGCTTGTCTCTCTCAACTCTTGCCCAGGCACTGCTCTTGGGCCACAGTGGATTTCTCACCACTCCCAGATGCAGCAGGCTCTTGTGCACCCCAGAGCTTTTGCACTTTCCATTCACACTGTGTGGAATGCCCTTCCCCATTCCCACCAGCACTTGTCCAGTCTACTAATGCCTCTTTATTCTTTTATACTCGGCTTCCTTTCTGAGTTCCTCCTAAGCTGAGTTAGACACCTTTCCTCTCTGACCCCACCCATGAATACCTATATTATTACATTTATTGTACTGTATTATAATTGTTAAAATCTTGTCTGACCCCCTTTTAGAATGTGAGCTCCTTGCGAGCAGGACTGTGTCTTCCTCATCTCTGTATCCCCACAGCTTTGCCTTACACATAGTAGGTTTTCAATAAATGATTATTAAATGAATAAATGGTAGTGGTTTCTGCAGAAAGAATCAGAGTAAAAACTCAGATACAGCTTAGCATTTCTTCTTTTATAATTATAATCATAGATGCTAAGAGTTGAAAGGGACCTTAAACAAATTGCCTTCAACAGTAGCTAGATAGACATCACCTAGATGCATCTTGAATACTTTTAGCCATGGGGCACTCACCTGTTCAACCTGGAAGCCCGTTCCATTATTGGATCACTCAGAACTCTTCCTTTTATTGGTCAAGTCTGCCCTCCTTTAATTTCTACTTATGTTCCTATTCTACTCTCCAAAACTATAGCGAACAACTCTACTTCCTCTTTGAAATTCTTGAGGCAGTTACTACATTCATGGCCACCTCTTACTTCTAACTTACTACCTTCTGTTTTCTTCAGACAGAATATCTTAAAGTTCCTTAACATGATATGATTCCTGAACCCACTATCATCCAAGCTTCCACTGTGGATACTCCCTAATGTATGAGCCTATGCCATTCATTATTTGCTTCTATCCAAAGCCAACCTCTGAAGTAAAGTAGCTGCCAAAAGTCTGGTAGATTAGAGTATAATGTAGTGAAATTTAAAATAAGAGTATATTCACAACATTCGACAACGTCATTGGCCCAGTGTTCTTCCTTAAACTAATATACAGCTCTTGGTGGGAGTTTGGGATCAGGACAATGATTCTTAGCCTCTGGTGTGCGCAGAATTCACCTGGCCCCACCACTAGGAGTTCAGAGTGTTGAGTGTTAGCACCCAGGAATCTGTGTTTTTAACAAGCTCCCTCCCCACCCACCACTCATTATGAAAATGGATGGGTTGAGGACTATTCCTTCAGAGAACACTGGCCTCATGAAAGCCAGCCTTCTAGCAGTCATCTGTGGATGCATGGTGCAGTGTCAGAGCCATTGAGGTGACTGCTTTCTAGGAACCAGTGGCTTCACCCTGGCTGCACCTTCAAATTATCTGGGAAGCTTAAAATTTACTGATGCCTCCTGATCTTCCAACCCAGGGGACTCTGACTTAATTGGCCTGGGGTGCAGCCTGGGTATCTGAGTTTTCAGATGCTCCCCCTTGGTGATTTGGGTGTGCAGCCCGGGCTGAGAACCACTGTATTATATGGAGTGACTGCCTGAAGCTGCGTTAACCAGGGACAGGGCTAGAAGGAATGGCAGATGGTACATAGACTACAACTGGGCATTCCCTAGGTTAGGCTGCGTCGCTGCCACAGTATCGCAAAGATATGTTCATTACAGATTAGACCAAGGGCCACTCTCCTCATTTAATGTTTCCAAAGCTTTAGTTTTGAGTCAGAGACCAAATGATTAAATAAAATATAAATTTGCCTTTACAGTCCTCTTATTTTATATGCTACCAAGGTGTGATAGCTAGGTCAGCTACTCACAGTTTTCAAATGTAGTTCAGATAAATTTGCTTTCAAACCTCTGCCTGGAGGATCACATTCATCTCCCCCTTCATTAAGGTTTAGCAGTTTCCAAAATGTCTGGAGAGATTCTGTGGGGAAGGAAGATGGATAGCCTGAAGGAGACAAGCCCCGTCTCCTTCCTCCTCCCCCCACCCCACCCCCCGAGTCTTCGCCACATTTTCACTCTTGTCACCTCATCAGGCCCCTCGTGAAGACCCCCACAGGTTATCACAGCTGCCCTAAAGGCTGCCTGCAACCATTTGCAGCTTGTGAAAATGATTTTCTCAGCCCTCGCCTGAGATAGTGTCCCTGGGATAATGACTTAGTAGATGGAGAGAGATTGCACTGCCACCCGCCAGGCTGCGTGCAGCTTGGGAACTCTCCAGCGTGTTTACATGTTGATATGCAGCCAGTAAGGAAGCCCGCAGCCAAGTGTGAGCCACTGGAAAATAGTAAAATGAGAGGCTTCAACTGGCTCTCCCCGCCTAATCTAATCTACCTCAATGACTTAGAACTAACTCTTCCTAGAATGTTTGGTTACCAAGATAAGGTTGCTCATATAAATAAGTAATCGTTCCAAACCCAGCCCCTCACAGAATGTGGGAAGGTCAGCGTGCTGACCTCTTCTGCTTGAAGGGCCCTGTCTTTACTCCTCTGGTCTCTCTCCTTCCCTGAGATCCAGCCCCCTGACTCCTGACTCTCGTCTTCAACTTATAGGCCCTGACCTCTTTGAAGTCTGATATTGATTACAGTGAAATGTCAATTGTCTGATTGCAATAGGGCACCTGGAACTTATTCAGATAAGCAGAGGCTTTTCAAATGTTAATGAAGCATGTTGTGAGCCATGACCTTCTTCTAAATAATGGTGTTTTGGGAAAAGGAGGATCAGGCAATTGAAGTGTCTCTCTCTTTTATTATTAGTTCAGTTGCTTTTTCTCACCACAAGACACTGATTAAATTACAGTGGGTGGGTTTTGGACCATGTATCTCTGCCCTCAGGACAGGAGTTTTGGACATTGAGATAGATGAGCTGTTCCAGGGTTGCCTGGTGTTGCTCATTCAGACTTAACTTTTCAGGCAATAACATTTCCCAAGTCCCTCAGTGAAACTGTTGTTTCTCCATGTGCATTGGTTGAGTTTTGGGCCAGAAAGTTTTGACTGATTTCCAAACTTGCAAAGAAATATAAATGAGCATCCCAAGGAAGTAAGGCATGTTCCACCAAACTTTTTCTTTGGGTAGTACCTCCTGATGAAAGCTACTGACCTTTGTCTAGCTACTAAGTGAAAAGAGCTTATTGGTTTCAGGCACCTTATTACATTGCTGCTGCTTCCTTGTGGGTGAGGGATGGGGAAGAGGACATGAGGAGTGCTGCTAAGGAGGAAGGTAACCTAGTAACAAAGGGTGTGCATCCCAACTGGGTGAATGCGAGAGAACTAGGATCTCTAGGAAACAGTTCAAAGGATTCTTTTCTCAATTCTCCCAAGGATAGAACGTCCTAGATAC